GTGTGTGTGTGTGTGTGTGTGTGTGTGTGTGTGTGTGTGTGTGTGTGTGTGTGTGTTTCTGACCCAACAGACAACTCGTCCGTTCACACACGGCAGCTTGGCGCCGTCGTCACTGATCTCTTCTTTCACCACCCTGAAACACATCATTTTATCATCGCATCCACCAATCACAGCGAGAAATGATGACGTCACTGATTCACATGACCAGAAGCAGTGCAACAATGATTCACATCTCTGTGTTAGCTTAGCTTAGCATAAAGACTGGAAACAAATGGAATCTGTTAGCATAATGAGCCTGTTTCCTGGTGGTCATCCATCCTGATGTCTCATCGTGAAGTCCTGATCGGATCGATCAGAACAGTTCTTGATCAGGTCTCTGTGAGCAGATCAGAACCTGGTTCTGTCCCACAGAGACAGGTGGTCTGCAGGTAATAAAAATAAGTATATAGATGATGTCATCACGTGGAGGGTTATGTAAACAAACACCTGCTGGTAAATAAACAAAGACAGACAGAAACAATCTGACTGCAGACTTATTGTTTAAACTGGTTTTTAGTGACTGAGGTGATCACGTGACCCTCTGATCGACAAGGGATTTGACCGGAAGTCACCGACTGATTGACGCTCGGATCAATTCCATCGATCACGTGACTCACCCGAAGTCCGCATCCACGGACTTGAAGAAGAACCTCGCGCCGGGTTTGTTCAGGACCTGCTTAAAGTCCGCCAGGGTGACGCGCTGCGCGGGCACGCCGATCCGGATCAGGTAGGGGGTCTCCTGGTCCTCCAGGTGGTAGATGACCCGGGTTTCCTCCGCCATCCTGGACCCGAGGAGCCTGGCTCGGCCCCGGACTCACAGGGATGATGAGGGACAGAGACACCTGCGCGTGTCTGAGTCCAGCTGCCTGTCCACGTGACCGCGCACCTGTCCCCCCTCCCTTCCCGGGTCTGCAGCTGGTCCCAGCCCGGTTCCGGTCCAGATGTTTCGGTCCAGCTGCTGCAGGTCTCAGATGCTCGTTTTTCTTCAAACACAGTCAAGTGGCACGGATTAACGCGGCACTTCCGCCCAGGACCTTCAAAATAAGAGCTTAGAAATGTTCATCTTTTTCTTTTTTTAACTCGAGTTTTGTGAAAAAATGAAATGAAAAATAAATAACATTTAAACAGAAAATAGTAACAGAAAATGAGTCAGATCAGGTTGGATCAAACTGACCCAGGTTTCARCCCAAGAATAAACATTAAATGTATGTAAAACTGAGCTGGTGACAGTTTATTTTTTACTTTAAAAAAGGTTATTTTATTTAGGTTTTAAAGTGTTTTCCACATTTGCTTCATTTACATAAATGTAATTTAGTAATAGATTTATCTCTAAGGAAACAAACGTTCAGAACAAAGACTAAAAATGAAATTCTGATAAATAAAAACCTCCAACAGAAAGTTTATTTCATTAAATAAACTATAATCACACAGCTGACCTCATCTATGAAAAATGGTTCAAACAGAAGAAAAAGAGATCAAATGTAAAGAATTTTAAATAAATTTATTTTCATTCAAAAACATGAAAACCATCAAATAACAGAAAACTTCTTGAAAACATTATTCAATTTAATGCTTTTATTGTGAAGGTGGAGCCCTCAGCTTCCGGTTATTAATTGACCAAACCGCAGACATCAAAGAACCCCGCTAACAAGTCGGTCTCTACACTTCCGGTTCCTCCTAAAAAATAAAATCAGAATATGATCAACTCTTTCAAAATAAAGTACCGTTAATTATTTCAGGAAATAAACCGTCTTAAGGAGATTTTTTTGTCAAACAATAAATAAAATAATTTGTTTATAAACTGTGAAAATGTTTAAAATTTTATGATTCGCTGTTATTTTAATTTACTGAAATATTCTGAWGGAAGGTTTTATTTGAAATCAGCTGGTTGAGTTCTGGTTCTGGTTCTGATCAGATCCGGGGTGGAAACTGTTCACAGTGAAGATTTAAGGCCGCTCAGGTGAAGGCTGCTGGTATGGACTGATGAGGTCCAGACGGACCTGAGGTTCTGCTCCGTGGGAGAGTCGGGCTCAGGAGAGGGATAGCTCAGGTTCTGGTTCTGGTTCTGGAGGACAGTGAAGATGAAACAAAGCATTCACTGCGTCAAACAGGAAACAAAGAAAAGAAAGGAGACAACCTCCAGAACTTTGTCTTCACAAAGACTAACAGAACCGGGTCAGCAGGTGGTTCTTGTTTCCGTCTTTGGATAAAAATGTTTAAAAATGAAATCAGCACAAGAGCCTCATGAAATCAGGGCTGACCGGATCTGAAGGACTTCCTGTCCGACCCGGTGAGAAACAGAACCCAAACAGTCCAGTTCTCGGGTTTCAGGACTTCATAAACCTGATCAAATCTTTACCCGGTTCTGAATTTAAGGGTGAGGTCCTGGATCATCCAGAATCTGGACCCAGTTTTTGTTTTAAGACCAGATCCTGTTCCCTAAAGCCCGAGAACTGAAAAGACACGCAGCGGTTCTGATCCGGTCTGATACCTCCTCTGCTGGTCCTGCAGGACCCTGATCCAGTCAACAGGAACACAGTGAATCATGACTGATTCTGTAGGTCACATGACTCCGAACAGGAAGTGACTAATAACACTGGCAGCACCACTTCCTGTTTAACACTTTCATCAAAATGTTTTTGTTTGTAAACAAAGACGATGAAGATGGCCGCGGTCATCGTCACGCAGAGACGTTCACGTCCCGCAGAGCGATGGAGGYCGTCCCGGTGGGAGCTGCAGCAGGAGGTGGTGAAACAGAGGGGGAGGGGCTAGCCGCAGTGGGCGGAGCCGGGCTGTTCTGATTGGCGGGTGCTGAGCTGTTGGGAAACAGGATCTGCTGTAGCGTCCGTCTGAGGTTTGGGTGCAGGCGGCGCTGCGTCTGGTAGAAGATCTCCACGGCAACGCACTTCATCACCCCAGAAACCAGGTCCTCGTACAGCGGCACCGTGTACATCCTGGAGGTCTGGGGACAGGTGGAGGGCAGGTGAGTCCTGAACGTACCTGTGTGAATGTGCACGAGGCGGTCAGGTGGTTCTTACGTGTTTGTGCAGGAAGGCTCGGACTCGAGGCAGGTCAGGGTAGAAGGTGTTCCTCACAACCATCTGCAGCCAGCGGATCTGAACCTCAGCATTCAGACCATCGAACAGAGACGAGTAGGAGCCAGAGAACCTCTCCATCAACTCTGGAACAGTCAATACACCTGATCAATGCACCTGATCAATACATCTGATCAATACACCTGATCAATACACCTGATCAATACACCTGATCAACACACCTGATCAACACACCTGATCAATACACCTGATCAATACACCTGATCAATACACCTGATCAACACACCTGATCAACACACCTGATCAACAC